TTGGATATGATACGGATTCTTCTTCACAGTCTCTTACTCAAGGCGATAGAGAGCCTAAACTGATGTCTACGGCAATCTCTGTTGGGCGTTCTACTCAGTCTCAGAACCATGGTATGATTCAATCTGCGTCTCCATTAGTTCTCCCTCACATTACAAACTCGACGGTTTCTCAGTTCAATTTTTCTTTGACTGAATCTACCGGAGTTTCTAATGTACAAGGAAACGCTAGGAGAAGACCGGGTAAATACAAGAGAAATGCTCAAGCACAAGTCAAGAACAAAGCTCAATCCTCTAAAGCAGATTCTCAGGCTTCTAAAGATCAATTACCACTTAAAAGGAAAGCAAAAGATGATGTGGCGGATGCACCCAAGCCATCAAAGCTTAAAGCATCAATGATGGTCCCAAAGGAGGGGCCGTCCAAAGCTTAATGAGTCTTCTGAGTTGGAACTGTCGGGGAGTGGGGCGGCCTCAGGATCTGACAGTTCAACGTCTCATGGAGCTACGTCGTACGTACTTCCCTGAGATTTTCTTTCTTATGGAAACTATGAATGGTAGTAATATTATGGAAGATCTTAAAGTGTGGCTTGGGTATGATCATGTTTTCACTGTTAACCCTGTAAATACCTGGGGGGGTTTAGCCTTATTTTGGAAAAACAGTGTCGATGTGGATATGTTGTACTATGATAAGAACCTTTTGGATGTTAATATCAAGATGGGTGATAAGCAGTATTTTCTCTCGTGTATATATGGCAATCCTAATATTAAATATAGACATTTGGTATGGGAGAGATTGATGCGTTTGGGTGTAAATTGAAGAAGTAGTTGGTGCATGTTTGGAGATTTCAATGAAATTCTCAACAATTCAGAGAAGATTGGTGGTCCAAGAAGAAGCGATGCGTCCTTTGAACCTTTCTCAGATATGCTTCATGCTTGTGGAATGACTGAATTATCAAGTACTGGAAATAGCTTTACTTGGGGTGGAAGAAGGAACAAAATGTGGATACAAAGTAAACTTGATAGAGCTTTTGGCAACTCAGATTGGTTTAAGATTTTCCCTGCTTCTAATCAAGCTTTTTTAGCTAAAAGAGGATCCGACCACAGACCTGTTTTGATTAAGCTTACAGCATCTCAAGATAGTTATCGAGGCTCCTTCAGATTTGACAAACGCATGCTTCATAAACCTTTGGTTCAAGAAGCTATTCATCAGGCTTGGAATCATAGTAATGATAATCAGGAGGTTTCTGTTTCTGTCCGGCTGAACTACTGCAGGAAGGCTCTTAGTAAATGGAAAAAAAACAATCAAGCCAACTCAAAGGATAGGATAACAAAGCTTCAGGGTGATTTAGAACTCGAACAATCAGCCATGGATCCTTGCTCTCTCCGTATCGAAATCATCAGGCGTGATCTTTTAAAAGCTTACAGAGATGAAGAAAACTTTTGGAAACAGAAAAGGAAAGATGACTGGATCATTCATGGTGATAGCAATACAAAAGTTTTTCATGCTGCTGTTAAAGCTTCGAGGGAAAGAAATGAGGTGACCAAGCTCTTTGATTCTAGTGGTGTAGCTCATCGTTCTGAAGCTTCCAAAGCTCAAGTGGCTATCAACTACTTTCAGGATCTTTTCAAATCCTCAAACTCTGAAGATTACTCTGAAATTCTTAGAGGTTTTCCTTCTAGAGTTTCGGATAGAATGAATCTTTGTCTAATCAAGAAGATCACTGCTGAAGAAGTGAAGAACGCTGTGTTTTCTATTAAAGGTGGAAGTGCACCAGGAGTTGATGGAATGACTGGTTTTTTCTTTCAAAATTATTGGGACACAGTAGGAGATCAGCTTACCAAGGAGGTCATCAATTTCTTCGACTCTGGAATCATGCCAGTTGAATGGAACTACACTCAACTTTGCCTCATACCAAAGAAACCGAATGCATCTCTGATGACTGATTTAAGGCCAATTAGCTTATGTACAGTGATGTACAAGACAATATCTAAAATTTTGGTGTCCAGACTCCAGTGTTTTCTTCCAGATATCGTCTCAACAAATCAATCAGCCTTCGTCTCCAATCGTCTTATTTCAGATAATATCATCCTGGCTCATGAAGCGGTTCACAGTCTCAACACTAAGGAGGAAATATCCAAGAACTTTATGGCTGCTAAAACTGATATGTCAAAAGCCTTTGACAGAGTTGAATGGAGTTATCTTCAAGCCCTTCTCATATCACTTGGTTTTCACAGAATTTGGGTCAACTGGGTAATGGCGTGTGTGACGTCGGTGAAGTATTATGTTCTCATCAATGGTCAATCCCACGGTTATATTTCCCCTGAGCGTGGCTTGAGACAAGGTGATCCTTTATCACCTTTTCTATTCGTCCTCTGTGCAGAAGGTCTTTCTTTTCTTTTGAATCAAAAAGCAGCAAGTGGATTGATTAATGGCATCCAATTCTCTCCAAATGGTCCAGCAGTTCATCATCTATTTTTTGCAGACGATAGTCTCTTCCTCTTTAAAGCTGATATCTCCCAATGTCAAGTTTTTCAAGAGGTTTTGCAGAAATATGGTGAAGCTACTGGTCAAGTAATCAATCTTAACAAATCTTCGCTGACATTTGGAAAGAAGGTAGATCAAGATTTGAAGCTAAATATTCAGAATTTGCTTGGTATCTTTGCTGAAGGAGGAGCAGGTACCTATCTTGGGTTACCTGAATGTTTCAGTGGTTCAAAAGTAGAGATGCTAGCCTACATTCAAGAGAGGATGAAAGGGAGAATGACTGGATGGTACACGAGATTTCTTTCTCAAGCTGGAAAGGAGATCATCTTAAAATCTGTAGCAATGGCAATGCCTATTTACGCTATGAGTTGTTTTAAGCTCCCTAAGACAACTTGTAAAAATTTAACATCAGCCATGGCGGCTTTCTGGTGGAGATCTACTGAGGATAAAGGAAAAATTCATTGGCTAAGTTGGGATAAGCTTTGTGTTCCTAAACACCTTGGAGGGATGGGCTTTAAAGACATTGAAACCTTTAATCAAGCTTTGCTAGCAAAACAAGCTTGGAGGATCCTCCAAGATCAGTCTTCTCTGTTTGGAAGTTTTTTAAAAAGCAGATATTTCCCTGATGGTGATTTCCTCTCTGCCAAGTTAGGTAAAAGACCTTCTTTCGCATGGCGTAGTATTCTTCATGGTCGAGATCTTTTAGTCAAGGGGTTAAGACATATGGTTGGTAATGGTGAAACCATTCATGTTTGGTCCACGCCTTGGCTTGCTGATGGTGATAGAATGCGCATTCCTTTGATGAAAAATACTTTGGTAGACCTCAATCTCAAAGTTAAAGATCTTATGCTTCCAAATTCTCATTTTTGGGATATGGTTAAGCTAAATGATCTCTTTTATCATCAAGACATTGCAATCATTACCAAGATAAAACCTGTCATCTCATCAGAAGATTTTTATTGTTGGAATCACACAAGATCTGGAGAATATTCAGTTCGATCTGGTTATTGGTTTGCTGAAAAAGAAGCAAACAAAGATGCTTATGCTGAAGGATCCATGCTTCCCTCCCTCAACGGTATCAAAGATTTCATTTGGTCTCTGGATACAGCTCCAAAGATAAAGATCTTCTTGTGGAAAGTTGTTAGTGGTGCTCTTCCAGTGACGGATAATCTCACAACCAGAGGTATGAAAGTTGACACTAGATGCCAGGTCTGTGGTTTGGAAGGCGAGTCTATAAATCATGTGCTTTTCACTTGCACCTTGGCTAGACAGTATTGGGCTATCAGTAACTTTCCTCGCCCCCATTCAGGTTTCTCTGATTCCTCTGTTTACTCCAACATTTTCTATGTTCTTAAAGCAAGAGATATTCTCTCTATTCCCTCGAATATTAGTAGAGCTGGACCCTGGATACTTTGGAGTATATGGAAGAACAGAAATCTGCATTTTTTTGAAGGATGCATCGCAGAAGCTCCAGACCTCATCGGTAAAGTGTATGATGAAGTTGATCATTGGTTTCTCATCAAGACAATAGAAAAAGAAGAAAAAGCTATTGATCTTGAAAGGAAGAAGAAAATTTTATTTGGTTGGAAACCTCCCCCACCAGATTGGTTCAAATGCGACATTGGCTATGCTTGGAACAAGTCCAAAAGTGAAAGTGGAGCCTCTTGGATTCTTAGAAACAGTGTTGGAAAAGTTCTACTACATGGTAGAAGATCTTTCTCTGGAATCTGCAGCCGTTTTGATGCTTCTATGGAAAGTTGGCTATGGGCTATTGAGAGTCTCAAGAGTCTTCATTTTGATTCACTTATTTTTGCAAGTGATGACAAGGATCTTACTGCTGCAATATCTAAACCATCTGCTTGGCCTTCTCTTAAATTCTACACTGAAAAAATCTGTCTTCAGTTTATTGATTTTTTGGCATGGCGGGTTCAATTTATGAAACGCGAAGATATCAAAGGTGCCTCTCTCATTGCTGATAGTGTTGTCAAAGAGGATCGTTTTCAATCTTATATTGCTACTGGATATCCTTCTTGGTTAAGACATCTTTTTGTGAAACCTTAAGATCTCTTCGTAGTGTTTTAGATTTAAGCAGATCCTCTTCTTTTGTTTCTATAGGTTGGTTTGTATTACGTCCTTGTAATTCTACGTTATCTTAATGAAAGTGTTTAAAAAAAAAAGATACCAACAAGAATTGTCTTGTCAGTTTGTTCTAAACTCGTAAATACCAACAAGGTAAGGGTATAACCAATTCTTCTTGGACAAAGGAAGAAAAAAGAAACTACATTTTGACTAAATCAAGAACCGTCACACTTACATACTCCTTGCCCCTCCTGTCTTTTCTAAGACCAAAGACAAAAACCCCTACTTGGTCTTGACACCTTAATAGGCTACACCAGAAATAACATTCGACCCACCCAAAAGCACAAATAAAAATCGAAAACAACCACGAAAAAATTCTTATCTTTCCTTTCAACACCTCTCGAAAACTTCCATTTCCTTTCTTCTAAAACACTCTTATCTAATTATCACGTCTCGGTTGCCTTTTGCGTGGAGCAGCGGTTTCTTCTTTCTTCTCTGTCTCATCTTCACTCTTTGAGCTCTCTCCTACTTCTGGTTTCTTCTTTTCCACTGTTGCTGCCGCCTGTAATCAAACACCATGTTTTTTGAATTTCTTTAGCTTCTTTCACTTATCCCCTCATATATTACGAAATACCAAATTGACATAAAACTGTACCTTCTTGCCACCGAAGATAAGCTTGATGAAGAGCGAGAAGAATACTACGACAATGGAGACGAGGACACCAATGGTTAAGTTGGGTTGTTCCTCAGCTTTCTCAATCAGTTCCTATAAAACGACACCATTTTCAAAATCTCTCTTTAATCTCCTCCTCAAGGTCGAGTCCTCATCATCATAATAACATGCAACATGGTTTCAAATGAGATACAACTTACCGTGATCTTAGACTTGTAGGCACTTAGGAAAGAAATGTCCGCAACCTTGTTCAACAGGTCGAACACGACCTTCTGCAAACATCATCCACATATATATATATATATACATGTTAGGTATTATACGAGAAGCCATATATGTTAATTTTATCCTGTTATAAAATTTAATTCACCTGGTAGCTCTTGAGACCACCTGCAGAGCTAGCAGCCTCCTCTTCTGCCTTTTGTTTCTCTTTCTCAACATCGAATTTAGGCTTCCAAGTGGTCTGTCTGTAAGTCTCAGCGACCTTCTCGTCTTTGGCTATCAAGATGTTGTCAAACAAGATACCATCTTGCATTGTCCAGATCTCAATACCGATGGCTGCAATGGGTTCGTAATCGGGTCTGTCTAGCTCAAAGTAGTCAGGGTTAGGGATGTCTCTGGGTTTCCAGATTCCTTTGTAAGCAGGGTTATCGATCATAGGTGCACTCCACTTGCCCTTGTAAGCAGGGTTCTTCTTCATTGGTCTCTTCCATTCACCACAACCTGGTGCTGTTTCACACTTGGGGTTGTCAATCTTTGGAGCCTCCCACATACCATCTTCCTCATCATCCCAATCTTCAGGCTTGGTCGCCTCTGGGTCATCGACCTCCTCAGGCTCATCATCTAGCCATCCTTCAGGTTTCTCAGCTTCCTCATCTTCAATCTCCATGGGTGCATCCTCGTCCCAGTCCTCAGGCTTCACGGCACTAGGATCAGGAATCTTGGCTCTCTCATCCCAGTCTTCTGGTTTCTTGTCTTCAGGGTCGGGAATAGTCTTGTCAGGGATCAACGCAGGCTCAAAGTCTTCCCCAGAGAGTAAATTAGCCTTCTTCTTCTCCTCTCCATCAACCAAAATCCTAACCTCATTGTCAGGCTTCAAGATGGCCGTGTAGACGTGAGAAAGCTTGTCATAAGGAACAGAGGGAGGGAACTTCAGGTGGTGCTCAACGTACTCACCACTCTTGGGATTCTTGTGCTTCAAGATGAAATGCACTTTGTTTGTGGCTCCACACTTGTCAGGACCAAACATGATAGAGTAAGGAGATTCACTGTTGAACCCTTCAGCCGTCCATCCAGCTTCTTGAGGACGGAGGTATTTCAAGTAAGCACCACCACACTCAAGCCCCTCCTGGAAACGAACTTCGTATTGTAGAACAACTGTTCCATCCTTGAGGTTTAGAGGCTCATCAAGCTCTCTCACGATACCATACTTACGAGCCTTCTCGCTTACAAGAAGGCCATAATCATCGTGTCCCTCACTCTTCGCATGCTTCCATACACCTGAAAACAGACAAATAAGTCTTAACAAAGAAGCTTTAATCCAAAAAATGGTATAATCATCAACAACTAGAACAAGATTCAAACAAATCATGCATACTTAATAGCCTTTGCAAAATCCCTTCATAGAGAGCTAAGGTTTACATTCAAAGAGGTTCAAAGTACTTTTAGACTATTACTATGTGACCAACCATTCAACATCATAGCGTCAAGCCTGCCCGAGGTTATACGAAAGATTTTAACAAATTTTTTTTTTTTTACAAATTTGGGAGCCTAAATTTTTTTTTTTTTGGCATTTTTTGTATATGTAATTATTTTCAAAAAGTTTAGAGGTTTATAGACGAAAATAGTTTTGTTAGGGTTGGCTCAGGACCGGCCCTATAAGAGTTAGTTACACATACTTCTATCAACATTCTCGATTTGAATAATTTATATATGATGAATTTCAACACATTACAACTTAACTTCACTAACTCAGATCCGAATCATAACCTAAAAATACAATGCACAGAGGTTTATAGACGAAAATAGTTTTGTTAGGGTTGGCTCAGGACCGGCCCTATTAGAGTTAGTTACACATACTTCTATCAACATTCTCGATTTGAATAATTTATATATGATGAATTTCAACACATTACAACTTAACTTCGCTAACTCAGATCCGAATCATAACCTAAAAATACAATGCAGAGGTGTACACACAATACCTTCGTACTCGCCACTCTTCGAAACGATCCAGCGACCATCAAACGCCTCATCGAACGATTCATACAACACCTGAATATAAAAACTAAGTCAATCACAGATCCAAATCTTATTAAACCATTTTGTAGAAATTATACCGTCTGATCGTCACAGAAGCAAAGGTTCTGGAGCGAAACGAAAGCTAAGATAATCAAAAGGCCGGATAATAGTTGCCGGTCTCTCATCATCGGATCTAATCGGCGGAGAACAGATCGGAAAAAATCCTTGGCGGAGGAGAACAGAGTAGAAGAATGTTATTTTCCAGAATACTTTCTAGATATTTATTCAATCCCGTAGACTCGGTCGTTAGTGTCAATTTTGTTGTTTCAACCAATGAAATCGCTTGCCACGCGATGGTAACCATTCATATGCCGCCACGTCAATTAAAGTGAGGTCTTATACGTGCACAGTTATGTTGCTATTATTGGGTTGGGCCTACTATACAATTCTTCAAGAGTCGAAACAGAGTCTTTCAGCTCTCTGAATCATTAATTTGTGTATTTTAGTTTTAAAAATATAGGAAATTCAAACCAAATGTTACTCCTTCTATGATTTTGAAATTTATGTATAAGTTATTTTTTATTAATTGTATGATTTACAGATAATAATGCAAATCATATGTTATTTATTAGTGGATTTGAATTCACAATGAATATAGAATGATTTGTTTGTTAAAATATAAATATTTAAATCTCGAAAATTTGAATTTTTAAATGTTCACAAAATCAAGATATTAAATTCTAAAATAAGTAGATTTTATTTGTATTTGTAAATCACAAATTCATTAAAATACATTAACTAAATTTTTTTATAGATTTAACATATATGAAAAGGCTATTAGCTTTAAATGCAAAATTTTGAACAAAATGAAAATGATGATAGTTAGGAGTCTTAGGACATAACTTTACTAAATCCAGCACTCTTGCTCACTCTCTCATCTCTTTCCATCACTTCCCTAACCTTAACCACATCCTCCCACCTCTCAGCATTTGCATACATCTCCACCATCACTTTATACACTCCTCCATCCTCTGGACTCAACTCCTTAACTCTCTCTGCAGCTCTCTCCGCCACCTCCATGTTCCCATAGATTCTACACCCACCCAACAAACCGCTCCACGCCAACAGCTTCTCTCTCTTCCCTCCCTCTCTAGGCATCTTCTCAATCATCTCCGCCGCTTCTTTGATCAACCCCGCTCTTCCAAGCAAATCCGCCATACACCCGTAATGTTTCATCTCCTTATCAACATCATACAAAGACCCCATTTGGTCGAAAAGCTTCTTTGCATCATCAACAAAACCAGCATGGCTGCAACCAACTAGAACACTTATGAAACTAACACCATCGGGTCTGATACCAGAACTGACCATCCCACGGAAGTAATCAACTGTTAGCTCGCCGTAACCGTGCATTGCAAGACCAGTGATCATCGCATTCCATGTGAACAAAGTCTTATCCAAACATAAACTAAAAACCTCCATAGCTGTATCGATAAAACCACATTTCGCGTAGAAATCAACCAAACCAGTAGCTAAATACGAATCCAAGAAAACTCTATTCCTTGTAACGTAATCATGAATAGCTCTCCCTTTCTCCAAATCTCCACACCGTGCACAAGCCGAGAGAGTTGAGACAATCGCGACGTTATCAGGTTTAAAGCCATTAACAATCATCTCTTCAAAGAGTCTGATCGCTTCTCTACAACAGTTCATCTGCGCATACCCAGCGATAAGACTATTCCACGTCACCAAATCACGAAACGGCATCGAGTCAAACACCTCACGTGCTTTAACAACCTCACGTGCCTTCACTAACCCATCGATCAACACGTTGTACGTGACTACATCTCTCTGAGGAGTTTCGTCGAGCAGCTTCAAGGCGATATCGATCGAAGAAGAGTAGAGACGTAACAGAGTGTTGAGAGTGAACAAATCAGACAACAAACCGAATCTCAAAGCTTGGCAATGGAGGGATTCGGTTAATGTGAAGGTAACGTTTTTCTTTGTGCAAGCTTTGAATACGAAAGGGAAGGTGTGGAAGTCTGGAGGGACGGAACGACGTCGCATTTGGACGAAGAAACGGTGTGGAGATAGAGACGGCGCGTGAAGGGTGTAGAGTCTGATGATCGTGTTGTAGCAAAAGGTAGATGGGTTTGTGATGAAATTGAACAGGGAAGTAGCGTAAGTGGATAAAGCATGTGTCGCTGTCGGAGGAGACGGTGTTGCAATAGAGGTGAGAGCGAAGAGGATATTAGTGAGAACAGAGTTCTGATTCGGACCGTTGGAGATCCGACCGGAAGTGATGAGTTTTGCATGGAACTGTTGCACATGTCTTAGGGTTTTACACTGCTTTAACGACATTTGACTTGAAAATTGAAAATATGGTCCAAAGCTTTCTCTTTTAATTAAAAAAAAAAAACAGAGGAGTGTGACGTGGCAGAGTTAGTTGAAGCCGTTAGAGGTTGTTACAGCTCAAACCAATAACAATAGGACACGTGGCGTTGATCGTTGTTAAGCTATTGTTTCAGGAACTGTAGTTTGATTCAAAAAGTTTCAGTGAGAATGTTAAGGAAGAAGAAGGAAATAATCAGATCTCTTGTTTACAGTTTCTACAATCGAAAGCTCGCAGTGTTTCTTTCGTCATCATCAAAGAGCTTGAACGCAACACAACATTAGGTTCTTGTTTTTTTTAATCAATAGCGAGATTTTTCTTCATAGCTTCGTAGACAAGGTAGGAGATGCTTGCGGAAGGAATGACTTTAAAAAGATTAGGAAAGATTCCTCTGTAAAAGCCTCTTAGACCTTCTCCTTTAAGCGTCTTCAGAAACTCTTGGCTCATGCTAGTCTTCGAGCTATCTGCTTGCATTCTGATAACATAAAACTCAGTTCAAAACTGCATATAGAAGGAAACAGAGATTAGTATTTGAGTTTTCACCTTGTTCGTACGACTTGTAACGGGTAAACACACGATGCTCCAAGAGCTCCTGATGTCATTCCACATCCTAGTTGTACAAGAGGACCCGGCTCTGCAGAAAATACAAAGTCTTTAGCATAAGTGTGAAAGTTTTTTTTTTTTTTTTGAATTACCTGGAGGTTCGGGTAGAAACCCTAATCTCCCGAACCAAAACCGAAACCACAAAATGTAATATTAGTTTCGTTTCAGTGGTCATCTGAACTATCAGTGTGAAAGTTTTTTTTTTTTTTAATTACCAGGAGGTTCGGGCAAAAACCCTAATCCCCCAACCCGAAACCGAAACCACAACATGTAATATTAGTTTCGTCCCAGCTGTCATTCGAACTATCAGTGTGAAAGTTTTTTTTTTAATTACCAGGAGGTTCGGGCAGAGAACCCTAATCCCCCGACCCGAAACCGAAATCACAACATGTAATATTAGTTTTGTTCCAGCGGTCACTCACTCAAACTATCAGTGTGAAAGGTTACGTAAGGATTGATTAGTATCTAACCGTAACGGGTGTCATGATGAATGTATGTCCTTGACAAGTCTTTGAGAGTCTCATAAGCAGCAAGATCAATCCCTGCGTACGGTATAATCCCAAGAAGAGAAGGATAAAGACCCTTGTAAAACGCTCGAGGTCCTTCTTGAACCCAAATCTCCTTGGTGAGTTTCAACAGATTCGGTGTCTTCCCAAGCTCACTCACACAAGTCTGCAACCTAGTCTTCACTAAATCCATAGGGTAAATAGCCGTTTGAGCCACTGCACCAGCTAACCCACCAGCCAAAAGCCTCCCTTTAGTCCCTATCTCACCATCTCCTCCTCCACCGATTATAGGCTTCAGCATCTCGTAAGCAGCAAACTTAATAGCGCTCTCAGGAGCCACTTTCGTTACATTCAAGCCATTACCTCTGAAGAAACCTAACATTTTATCTTCTCTCCATATTTTCTTGATGGTCGGGACAACTCCTGATTTGGTTCTCTGTACTTGCAAGACAACTTTGAGACGGTCTAGTGGCGCGGTTGCGGTTCTAGAGACGGCTCCTGCAAGTCCCCCGGCGAGAAGTAGTTTGCTTCTTTGAGCGTGTTTGCTTATACCGTCGGGTATAACGGGTTGCTCTCCAATGTCTATTAAGCAAACTCTTTCCCAGTGGTGGTAGATATTTTCGACAGTGGCTTCGTGGGGGTGTAGGAGAAGAAAGTCTCTCCACTCTTCGAAAGTTATAGTTCCGTTCTTGTCCTTATCAACATGTTCCATAAAAGATGCTAGTTCCTTGTCTTCAATTTCAATGCCTACAAGAGCATAAGCAGAGACTATGAATCTTATAGAGACTAAGACAAATGATAAGCAAACACTAGAACATCTCCTGATAAAGAAGTTTATATTTCAAGAACCCAATAAGGAACTACAAAGCTCACACATTGAGAGTTTCACTGAAACATGAATAATATTAAAAGGGACTTGTGTCAATCCAATTACTACAAATTAGTTCTAAATTGTAATAAACCCATTATAAGCCTAAATTTAACATGGTATCAGAGCCCGAACACAACCTCCCAACCCCGATCAGAACTGTCTGACCCGAATCCTATATTAGGACAATTTGCCTAAACTACAAAGCTCACACATTGAGAGTTTCACTAAAACATGAATAACATAAAAGTGACTTGTGCCAATCCACTTACTACAAATTAGTTCTAAATTGTAAACCCATTATAATCCTAAAATTTAACATGGTATCAGAGCCCGAACACAACCTTCCAACCCGAACCCAAAATCAATCCGACCGGTCTTCCAACCCGAACCCAAAATCAAACCGACCGGTCTGACCCGAATCTTATATTAGGACAATTTGCCTGAAAACATACAACTATCTTACATGGACTGATAAAACTCTCATTCATATAAAACCAAATGATACCAAAGCTATCAAGAACCAACATACTAGTAACTTGCAATTTAAGCAAAATACAAATCATAAGAGCCATAAAAGTTTCCTCTTTAAGATTATTGCAAAACCAAACAGTTGCAGTAATGGAACAGTGAGGGGGAATCAGAAAAGAATCACATTACCAGCCTTAACAAGAGCCTGCGAAAGCTCCTCTCGACAAATATCGTCATTGCGTTCAACATCAATAGCTTTGAAGATAGTGTAAAGCTCAAGCTCCTTAGCGTCCATGTAGCGACGAAACTCCTCGTAATCAACCCTCCCATCTCGATTCTCGTCGCAGACTCTGAGCAAGTCTCTAGCGTACTTGTATTTGGGAGGAATACGCAGCAAAGACAGACCTTTCTCGATCTGTGTGTCGTCTAAAGAACCTAACTTGGAACTGTCGAAGAATTCGAATAGTTTGCGAATCCTGACATCTCTCTCTTCCTTTGTCTCGTGTAATGCCGCCAGCACGTCTTCCATCGTCGTTGTGGTGGGTCCGGGCTTCTTGGTCTGAGTTTTGTTGGGTTTTCTCGTCTCCATTAATGATTAATCAAGAAACCCAGATGAGAAGTTGAAGCCTTTAGAGCTCCAACGTTACTGGAAGAATTCAAAAATATGATACTCGTTGGAGAAAATAATGTCTCTGATTTGACGGATGATATGTAAGGTGATGACTATTGTATTGAGGAAAGAGTAGGAGAGAGTGAGAACACCGATCTGACTTTCAATCTTGTTGTTGTCTCTTTGTGGAAGCAAAAATATCTGCTACCACAACTACTTCATTATTTTCCGTGTGGACCACTTCCGCTGCTTCCACGTCCACACAAAACACACCACTCAATTGAAGCCGGTCTAGTTTGGTTTGGAACAATAAAACCGTCTAAAATGGTTTTAAGATCCTAACACTTTTTTCCAGTTTAACAAATAAAATATCAAAAATAAAAATATTAACAAATTCGATTAGGATATTTTGAATCTAAACTAAAAATAATCAAATAACAAAAATAATTATATTAGCCGATTTGATTCAAATTCAGTTCTGATGTAAGATTTAGAAATATCCAATTAATTATATGATTACATATACAGAATATATAACTACAGTTATGAAAAACAAAATATTAATTTTTAAGAAAGTAAAATTTAATATTCGCACGGGTGTACAGGTCAACCACTAATATATCTTAATTGTTGTATCATTAATCAAAACATCATATAATTTGAAATACAGTGAATATTTTTTTGACACTTCATATTATTATTTTTTCTTTCAATTCGTCATTTAATATACATTCAACATTTACAAATTTTAATGATTACTTTATAAAAGTTAAATATCTTATTTTACAAGTTAATACTCCTTCCGTTTCGTATTAGTTGTCATTTTAGAATTTTAATTTTGTTTCATTTTAATTGTCGCTTTATGCTTTCAATACATTTTTTAGCTAATTTTTCCAAACTTATCCTTATTCTTTTAGCTCATTAAGTAAAATAGTAAAAAAAATCAATATATTAAATAGAGGTAAGATAATAAATTTCATAGTTTTTTAATATGTGTGAAAAAATCTTGAATGACATATAACATGAAACGGAGAAAGTAATTATTTTTTTGTCTAAATTAAATAAACTTAGTTGTAAATAGATTTTATTTACAGAGAATCTAAAATAATAATTTTGTAAATAAAAATAAATTATAACTTGTAATGAGATTATTTTGTAATGAGATTATTGGTTTTAAATAATAAAAAAATATATTAAAATATCAAAACTTATCGAATGAGACATGTGACCTAGGCAATCTCTATCTTTTTCTTAGGCAATCTCTATATTTTTCTCAATCAGCATATTAAATCTTTTTAACACCAAATAATCCACATCATCAAATTTTATTTTTCAACAAAATCATTATAGTGATTGAACTGTTGTATATCAAAACTTATCGAATGAGACATGTGACCTAGGCAATCTCTATCTTTTTCTTAGGCAATCTCTATATTTTTCTCAATCAGCATATTAAATCTTTTTAACACCAAATAATCCACATCATCAAATTTTATTTTTCAACAAAATCATTATAGTGATTGAACTGTTGTATTTTTATTTTAACACCCATTGTTGGATGGTCTAACAATCTACTGGTTTAGCTGCACTGTACATGAAGAATAACACAACTGAAGCAGGTTTGCGTGGGTTGATACAAAAGAACGACTCATTGACCGTTAGATTGGACTTTTCTTTTGAACGATCATAAACTTTAGATGGTATTTTGGGATTTTAGCATTGCTTTCGTTGTAATGATATACTCACAAATTTGGATGTAGAGTAATTCATATGGCAAGTAACGAATACAGAAAGTGTTGTTATCACTTGTACATGTCCACGGAACATTGCACATGGTGTGTGACAATTACAGAAAACTTCTTCCACGTAAGTACCATTACAAAAATATTACATTTAGAGGAAGCAACATATCCTCTTATTTTGATTCTTTGGTATATAAGAAGAAAAGATGCAGAACATTATAAAATCCACTGTTGTATCCAACGTAGTTTTACTCTTATGTGCTAAGTGATTGGTAACCATCTTCCCGGTTCTGTCTCCGGTATACCACGGCTGCTATCAGAACCACAACCGCCACCACCACCGTCGCTGCAAGAAAGCTTAAAAAGCTCACACTTTTCTCATGTGCCTACAAAAAAAATGATGAATACTAACGTTAAGTAAAGTAATACCACCAAAAACTGCATATTTATCAAAACCGGTTTGACATAAACCGGGAAATTTACCTGGAAGAGTGCAAGCAAGGAGTTCTCCGGTTCAGGTAGCTGCTGAGCAACCAGGAAGTAAAAGAGTCCCATAACTCCGGTATGACCAACGGCGCTACTGTAATTAAACTCCAAAGTCAATGTCTCTCCATAAGTCACTTTCACTGGTTCAGGATAACAAGAAGACATTCCAACAATGTAACCGGCTTCGTTTCCCGGTTCATCTCCATTGCCATACTTTGGCATCGAATTGCAAATCCCCTCACCATCCTGATCAATCCACAACACAAGAGAGCCTCAGTTTCTATCTTTACTTAAACAAAACCACTCTTTAATTACCTCTCGGTATAAAGCAGCACCAATACCACCCCACTACAAGAAAACTCGTCCATTACTAGGACGGGTTTTCCTCGTTAGTTCCTAGTAAATGGCCTTTTACTAGGAACTTACGAGGAAACGCGTTTCCTCGAAACACGTTCATCGTAAAGACATTTTCCTCGTAAGGTTGTAGCGAATTTACGAGGAAAGTTTTCCTCGTAAAGGCGTGGTAATATTTTCCTCGTAAGG